GCAAATAGTTAAATGAAACATAAGTACGGAGAACATTTCTAGTGTATACTAGCATTCTTCACAGCCTGGCCAATAAGGCGGTAACATATGTGATTTTATCCAACACTATACAGCAGGGTGCTACTTATCAATTGTGGAGGAAGCAGGTCACTAAATGCTGTACCCTGCAGTTTGCATGACAATGTAAGATAACAGCCAGCTGAGAGTGTGAGATGACATTCAATATGGATAATTACTATAACCTAGTAGAACCATAAACATAACATGTAGCATGGATGAGTATTAAGAGCCTTTTGAGACACACATACCCCAGAACCTCAAAAAAGGGAAGTCAAACGGCCTTCGCATGAGGATTAGTGGGAGACAGGATCAAGATAATGATCAGACATTCTACAGAAAAAAATACAGTGAAAACTCTGAAGTAGAGAAAACGTCATTTGCGATGCGCCTTGCGATGAGCCGGGGATGCTGGAAGACTGTCCCTGATGGTGGGTCTGTGCCTGGTCGGTGAAGACGGAGGTCGGGGGGAAGGTCTACGCTCCTCCAGGGTGTCTTGATGGCTGGGCTTCCATGTGGTCATCCCCTGTCTGGGGTGGTACGCGGAGGTCCCCGAACCAATTGGGCAGGTCTACTGTTATTATTATTATACAGTATTTATAAAGCACCAATGGTTCGCTCAGCGCTGTACATTACAATGGGGGACAGTACATGTGACAGTACAATAACAATACACTACACGAGGGTTCGAGGGTCCTGCTCCTTCGAGCTTACAATCTAGGAGGGAGGGGATAGTGGTAGAGGAGGAGATAGCTGTGGGGGATGGAGTGGTAGGAAGAGTGGAGGAGGTCAGCAATTAGCAAGGGGTGGGGTAGGTTTCCCTGAAGAGGTGGGTTTTCAGGGTGCGCCTAAATGAGAGCAGAGTAGGTGAAAGTCTGATGGATTGGGGTAGGGAGTTCCAGAGGATGGGTGACACCCTGGAGAAATCCTGGAGGCCGGCATGGGAGTAGGAGACCAGGGAACTAGAGAGAAGGAGGTCTTGAGAGGAGTGTGCGTGTTGGGTGGTACTTGGATATTAGGTCGGTGATGTAATTTGAGGCAGTATGATGGACAGCTTTGTACGTCAGTGATAGGATTTTGAATTTAATCCGTTGTGCAATCGGAAGCCAGTGGAGGGATTGGTAGAGGGGGTGGCGGAAATGGAGTGGTTGGTAAGGTGAATGAGTCTGGCTGCCGTATTCAGGATTGACTGGAGCGGGGATAGCCTGTGGTGAGGCAGGCCAGTGAGGAGGGAGTTGCGGTAATCGAGTCGTGATATGATGAGGGAGTGGATGAGCTGTTTAGTGGTTTCTGGGGTTAGGAACGTGCAGATTTTTGGCGATGTTGCGGAGGTGGAGTCTGCATGAGTTTGTTAGTGATTGGACTTGGGGCTGGAAGGATAGGTTGGAGTCCAGAATGACACCAAGTACTCGGGGCGGGCCTGATAGTGGCATTGTTGGATGTGATGGAGAAGTCAGTGGGGGGTTGGGATATCTGTTAGTATATCTAAGGTCTCGCAAAATGGTTGTACATCTTCCGGGAATCTCAGGATAGCCACTCGCCCCAGGTGTGAAGCTGAAAGACCAAACGGAAATTTCCAGCAATACGCTATGCAATACGCGGAGCAAAGTAGATCAAGCAAGGGATGTAAGTCCTTTCTGCGTTGAAGGGGGATATGTGAAAGATCTTGAAATAATTTAATTTCTGCTCCGTTAAAAATAATGTGATTTCTTTCTCGCGTTCTACTTAATAATTCTTCCTTGAGTCGGAAATCCACTAGGCAGCAGATTACATCTCATGGGGGTTCTGTGTCCCTGCTGAGACGTTCAATCTCAATAGGTGACTCCTGGGGTCTTTCAAGTAGATCGTTAACAATGGTTAGGACCGTTTGTGGTAACTGACCCGCCTCAATCGCCTCAAGTACGCCACACATCCTTAAGTTGTGACACTGCCTCCTGTTGTCCAGGTCCTCAATCTACCATATCTACCAGTTGGCGCGTATCATGTAGGGCAAGATCCTGTGTGATAATTTTGTCCTCCACTGCTTCTAATCTTTGTGACACTGCCTGCATGTCAATATGCAAATCAGCAATCGTTGCAGAGAGGGTCTCTATGATATCCAGTGCCACTGCTTTAAGATCCCCCATAGTAAGAGGGGATCCTGCTGAGGGATGTGTTGTGGCAGCTGGGCTCCTGCTGCGAGAACAGGATGCTCTGTGTGCAGAGTGGGAGGAGGCAGCAGGGGAGGAGGCCGCAGTGTACTCCAGGGCCTGGGACCAGAAAAACTCCGATATACTATGGCTTAGGGGACCGCTCATCGGGCAGAGGGACTGCGATCGTGGGGCCGAGGCTTTCCTGTCAGCCTTCCCCATGGCAACGGCGGCTCTCCCTGCTTATGTCAGGTGCTGTGTCCTCCGTGTGTTGGAGCTCCGGGATCAGGTGGCCATCATCCTCAGGGCTTAAGCTTCCTCCAATGAGGTTTGGTAGGTGTAGTTGGCCAAAGCATCTTTAACCGATTCCCGCCCGACCTATTGTACAATGACAGCCGGGCAGGACCAATCTTGTTCTGGAAGGACATCATGTGATGTCCTCCAATTCTTGCCATGCATGAGTGCCCCCCGGGGGTGCTCAAGGCGGCGATCTGTGGTAAGCTGTATCCCTTGGACAAAGCGCATCACCGATCAGGGCAAAGAGCCAATAATGTTGGCTCTTTACCATGTGTCCAATCACAGCTGATTAATTAAACAAATGCCTGTTATATGCATTTCCATTCCTCAGCGCTGTCACTGTCTGAGGAAAGGAACGCTGATAACCAACTTTCCTGTGACAGGGGACATTTACACTGATAATCAGGGTGCTGATCATCAGTACAGCCCCATTTGTGCCAATCAGTGTCCATCAGTGCAGCATATCAGTGCCCATCAGTGCAGCATATTATTGTTCATCAGTGCCCATCTGTGTAGCATATCAGTGCCCATCAGTGCTGCTTATCAGTGCCCATCAAGTGCCACCTTATTAGTGCAGCCACATCAGTGCCTTTTCATCAGTGCCCATCACTGACCATCAGTGCAACTTATCAATGCCCTTCAAGGCCACCTCATCACTGGCCATCAGTGCCCATCAGTGCCGCCACATCACTGCAGCCTCATCAGTGCAGCCTCATTAGTGCAGCCTATAAGTGCCCATCATTGCAGCCTCATCAGCGCACATCAGTGAAGAAGAAAAATTACCTTTTTGCTAAATTTTATAACAGAAACAAAAAAAAGTTTTTTTTTTATTTCAAGTTTTTCCGTTTGTTTAGCAAGAAATAAAAAACCCAGTGGTGAATAAATACCACCAAAACAAAGCTCTATCTGTTGTAAAAAATTATAAAAATTTCATATGGGTACACAATCTTCATTCAAAGTGTGAGAGGGCTGAAAGCTGAAAAGTGGCCTGGGCAGGAAGGGGGTGAAAGTGCCTGGTATTGAAGTGGTTAATTGTCTTTGAATAGGCCAATTCAGATTTGGCTGTGAAGTGTTGTGTCATTCCATTCAGATTCCAGGGCCTACCTGTGAAACTCTGAACAGTATATCTCAGCAGAGTGGGCCCTTTGCTGTAAGTTACGGAGGACTAATTCAGCAGCAGCATGACATGGAAAACACATAGAGGTTAGAGATGTCCAAGTTGTGCATTTATGGGCAAGATGGCCTAGTAGGGGGTTAAGATGTAAAGCAATTATTTACCCAATGTCCTATAATAAAGAACAAGAAGTTGTACTTATATCATACAAAATTTATTTTATAAACATAAAAATTTTAAATATTTAAAATATTATCATAAGTTAAAGAAATAAATGTAAATATGACAAAGGCAGTAGACATAAATTATTTTATAGGAGCTTTCTTCGGTCTGACCACTCTGTTGTTAATTACATTTCCACACTTCAGCCAGCTGTTGCTCTTCAGTAAACGGGTGACTCTCTTTTTAGCGGTGCTGTATTCATACTGACGGGAAGCATCAAAGAAATAAAGAAGTCCTGAGAAGAAAAAAATTTATTTTATTATATCAGTTTTTTTCCCCTTCCTTTTTTATATTAAGTCATTTCATATTGGTTGGATATGCAACATACCCCCCCACCACCACCACCACACTTAATCAAAAGACAAGAGTAATCATTTTTATGACTGACAGTTAAATGGAGCAGAGGTGAGTATGTGCTGCTGGTGAGTCATTAAAATGTGTGTAAAAACCTATCAATTAATTTTTCTTATGTGTTCCTTTTTGGGCTGTTAAAATATACCATTGAAATGTTTTGTTATATCTCTTCAATAAGTGCAAAAAATCCTGCAAGAAATCCAGTGTGCTTGTAACTTCCTTTGGAAGCAGTCTAGTGGTCCCAGTACATAATACCTGTGAACTGTGAACACAGAATGCCTCCTTCTATAGTATGGATGATTGTAAAGTCCTAACACACTTCCTGTCTAGGGTGACAACACAGCTTTTTTATAGATACTTTACAGTGAGTTGTCATTAAAGGAAGTGTGTTACTGGCAGGATCACCAGGTGAAAATAAAGATAAAAATACCCGATAAAGGAAAAGTAATGCAGCCACCACATCTAAGGACTGGTAAGCTGCAATTTAATTTTTTCTTGAGTTCGGATATACTTTAAATGAAACCTGTTTCATTTAAAGTTTCAGTGCTTTGACCTGCATGGCTAAAGGCATGAGTATATTTTAAGATGCACATAAAAAACAAGACCCATCATTCTTTACACACAATTGCACAAATCTTTTGTTTTCTTCCTGAGTTTTTACTTTGTGCTACTTTAACGCACTGATGTGTGCACATGGCTCTGAGAATTAAATAAATACTTGTATGTATCATCTTATCTTCCTGCTGAACATTTAGGAAGAAGTGTTTATTTTATTGGTCTGACTCGTAATGGGTCCTTAAATGCACAGTCCTATTTTATTTACTTACCATCGTTTTGGAAAGCACCATGAACCTTATTTCCAACACCAGGGAAGCCATCAATTATTTTCTTAGGAGTAACAGACTCCATTGCCTGCTTTTCTTCATCAAAGCTGAAAAAAAACCAGACAGGTTAGAAGAGACGATTTTCCAATATTCTCGTGAATTATTCTTTATTATCAAAGATCCTTGAAGATGAAAGTGAATTTCTTCCCAATGCTTATAGATGCAGAGGTGAGTAAGTTTACCAAGTGCTTTTACTGCTTACTCAGAATATGAAAGTACTTTAGTGCACATCTGGGCACATGTTAACTGTAAGTACTATATCATTTTATTTTATCCATACCAAGCAACACCAGTTAAAATGTTCCCATGATTTTAGATAAAAGTGTCATATAAACTCTAGTCTTACCTCCAGAATTTGTCATCCACAAAGAAGTAGGTCTTTTCTGTGTTTTCATCGTGGACTGCAGCATCAACTCTCCTAACAGTTCTGGGAAAACCCAAGTCATAGATGCTTTTGGGTGAATCATTTGTGATTTCATAACCATTGATAACCCAATATTTAGCACCTAAATTTAAAAAAAGAATATTGGGTTGATTAAAATATAGCAATCCATTTATTATCAACAAAAAAACTACTTCACACATTCCAGAATGTGCTTTGGCATAAATTGTATCCAACATGAGCACAAAAAAAGGTTATCTACTAACAACTAGATAGCCTATACAATTTTCATGATATTCCACAGACAAATAAGAAGTACACACCTTTGAAGACCAGAACCCTGTCTTTTTCTTTGTACTCGTAAGCAGCTTGAATGTGATTTGGAAGGGCAGGCCAAAATGTTTTAATTAAATGATGTTCAGCCTGTGCATTCTGAGTAATCTGGCGCCAGAAAGTTCTACAAAATACAAAAGAGTTCAATAATTTATCTTTGTATATTTTTAGTGTAAATCTAAGACTATTGCATGAAGATAATCTTGTTATGTTCAATTTTTATTCCTCTCTATTACTTAGTAATATTGTTTACAAAGGTGAATAGAATGTAGCCTTCCACTGTTCCTTCTTTTCAAATTCATATTGCTAATATCTATTTAAAAAGCATGTTTTCAAGCCCCTTGATTTGTGAGAACTATGTGTGACATCATCGAATTTAATATCAGCTGTCAAATGTGCTTTTTAATCTAAGTAACACTAGGGAGTAACTATTTTAATAGATATAACAGAATGAAATTTGCCATGACTCTTCCCTTTTTAGATGCACTCTCTTCTGTTTTTGATGATTGCATTTCACATACAAATTTGTAAATGATCAATCTAATTATTGTCTACTGTATGTATTAGTGAATGTGAAGAGCTTGTCAAAAAAAGAAAAGAAAGTTCCCAGCTCAACATGTGAAGAGCTTCCCTGTTCAATGACTGCTTAGATAAGTCTGCTTATCCTTATAGACAGCCAAGTTTTATTCATGTTATACCCAACTTATCGGTCCATGGTGCAGAGAAGCAGCAAGGAACAGTCATTTTGTAGCACTACTAGGCAGGAAGCACATAATTAACAAGTGTGACTGCATAAATATATCACTTTTTATAAGAAATAAATATAAATGTGTTTTTCTCAAACTAACACAGATTGGTCACAAAATAAAGAAGTCTTCTAAGGGAGTCGAGGAGACCACCATTGCTGGCCTCTCCACCTTAAAATGCCATACTGTCTATCTAGCTTTGGTACTGTGAGTCACTGCTTTGGAACTACTATACAGATAAACACATTTCTGTATACAAGGGCTGGTAAGTGGTTTGATATATATTACAATCAGTGGTTTAGCAATACAGCCAGATAACGTTAAGCTCATCACATTCTCATATACACTACGTACAAAAAAATGTAAAACACCATAAATTCCCATTAAAGTAAAAAAAAATGGAAATGAAAGTTAAAGCTTACTTGTTGGTGAAGAATAATATCTCTCCCCGCAAAGTTGTCACAGCGTCAAAAGTGATTGCCTGGCAGGAAGAAGGAGTGCTTGGAGGTTGTGTAACCACTGGGACTTCTCTGGCTCCTGTAATAAAGTACCGAGGCTGAATATTATGACATGGCAACCTTTTCTATAAATTATAGACTCGCTCATTAACTTTCTAATAGAATCTGGTAATTCATTTTTTTCTCTTACCATAGAGTGACTGAATTCCTCTAACGTCATCGTCAGGCAGGTGGAATTCACTGGGTTCAATGAAGTGGTAGGTTGGGTACATGAGGGCGCTGGGATCGTTAGAGTGATAGAGACCCAAGGAATGGCCAAATTCATGCGCAGCCACAAGGAACAAGTTATAACCTTAAATGACATAAAAAAAATTAGAATAGGCACTGTAAATGAATGCATTGTAACATATCTCTGTGGTGCATACCATTTAATGGCTTTAGTTAGCATACTCTAACTAAAGGAATAATGTTTTGCATTATTTGATTATAATCTTGCAGTGATTACAAATACTTTGTTCACTACTGAACAGAGGAAAAAAAGTCACCTCTAGATCCGCTAGTCCATGTTTCATCTTCATCAAAGTGAGCATCTCCTCCAATTCCAACATTTGGGGCAAAAGCATGTGCCAGAGTTCCATGTTGACCATCAAATGGATAAAAGTCATTGTGCACTGTTAAAAATGAAAATATAAAATGTATCTCTCTGCATGATATAAAGGTTTATAATCTGATATGACATTAAACTAATTTATGTACATACCTTGTGCTGCAAATGAGATCTCAATATCGGAAACACTGTTGTAAATTCGAGTAAAGGTCAGGGGGGTCACATCACTCCAAACCTGGAAGGCTTTTTGAATAGCTGCATCCACCTCAGCAGCGGGCATGTCTGGTGTATAATTCACTATTCTAAATAAAAAAATCAGATTGTTCTATTATTTCAAATTCTTTGTAAAGGGACATTGACATGGAACCACATGTTGTCCTATATAATTAACATGCTAGTTACTATCAGAATGGTTTATTTATGTGTAGAGCTTACAGTATGACCAATAAACAGTTTTTTGTTACCTAACATTTCAGGCTGATGGATGCTGATGTCAGTTTGCTTTGCAGGTGTATGACCTTACTTCAATACTCCATATTCAAGACAGGGGATAAAGTCAGCCAAAATAGAACCACTGTCTGGTTGGGTTTTTTTTTTTTTAAGTCTACTCCTGAAGAGATTTCCCCTCATTTCCTGTCCCAGAGATACAACAGGAAGTGAGGGAAAATCTCTTAAGTGTGGGGAAATTTCCTTTTTACATATATCCATCAAAACAGCTGTCCCCATTGGAAGATTTTCCCTCACTTCCTGTTCAAATGTCAACTTTTTAATGACAATGACTATCAAGACAGGTAGAGTCGAATCCCCAGCAGTGTAATAGAAAACCATAAAAAACCTGCCAGGTGTACTAATACTAAACCTGCCCATCCCAAATAAAAAAACAAAACATTTTGGCTGGAGATACAATTATGAGATAAACTGATGTTATCTTGCAACCTACTATACCATTGTCCTCCCGAACCCTACATATATAAATGTTTGTAAAGGTAACACAATAGAAATGTTACCTGTATGTCAGATCTCTCTTCTTCCATCCTGAGTTTCCGGGGAATATGCTGTATTCACCCACATCGGCAAACCCACACCTGGGCTGCTGCATCATTTCCATAGTGTCCGGGTCAAGTCTTCCCGTCACTTCCAAACCAAAGAACTCCTGCATCTGGCGAATCTTCTCTGAAAATTGAGTAATAGTTTTTTTCCTGGACTGGATCACCCCATCTGTCTTAAGGTTGTAGTATTTTTTCAAATACTCCTGTAGATAAAAAAAAAAGAAATCTCTGTTAGTTTTAACTTTGTATTTCCAAGGGGTTCAAGAGAAAATATGGTGAATATATGGACTAAACAAAAAGACATCGTCAAAATGGAAAATCATTAAAGATTCATCCAACATTTTGCAAAAGACTGAAAATATGCTATAATATATATGATAGACATCGATTCACTGCCAATGAATGTTTTCTGAAGATTACTGCCTTATAAGTATGTCCCCTTGTGTATTTGTAATGTTATTGTAATGTGGTCTTAACTAAATAAATTAAATCTCTCTTAGCTAACATTTAAAAAAGTCTGTAAGTATTGGTCAGACTTGTCTAGTAGATGTTCACACTAAGGGTATATTAAAGAGGAACTCTCACCCCCCATTATTTTTTCGCCCCTGCTTACCAGGAACTAGATATTTGTGTAGAGGAAAGGAGGGGGGGGGGGGGGTGTAGAGGAGGAAACCTATTTTTAAGGGTGAAGATCCACTTTAATGGGTAGTCATTATACCGCACTACTTAACAAGAAGCACAGAGAGCATTAATAAAGGTACAAAGTATGACTTGCCCCAATCACATATAAAGATTATAAGAAATACAATGGAAAAAGGTTTTCAAACTTGCCAAGATCTACATTAAATTGATCCCTTTCAAATTAATAAAAAAAAAACAGATAAAACTATACTTTCCCTTTAATATACTCACTTCTGCAAACTTGGCATCCTCTTTGTTGTCCTGTGAAGTTTCAGCTGGAAAAGCTGAGCAGTATGCTACTGAAAGTAGCACCACGAGAAACAAGCTCTTCATCTCTGGAAATCTTATGCTCCCTCTGGGTTTTTCTAGGAGTTTCTGCTTTCCTATGATTTTCTGAGTGCCAGGCTTCTCCTTTTATACCATACCTGGAATCATGAGCCAATCTGCAGAAAGTGACTCACCATTTACAACTTCCGCCAATCACAGCAAAAAGAAATAAACTTCATTCTCTGACAACAAGTTATGACAAAGTGCAAACTAAGTAAATCCCGCTCTTGTGCAACATTTTTTTCTTTTTTACATGATTAATGATCAGGAAGAGGTTTTGGTGTGAAGCTTACAAAATGGACATGGTGGTAAATTTGTTATAATTCTCACATATGTTTTAAAAATGGAATTAAATGGTAAATAATAATGAATTAGATTTACAAATTAGAAAATTCTAAAGTATAATAATGATAATAATACTACTACAAATGTGTGTGTTTATTATGTTTATTAATAAATATAATAATATTGCAAAACTACTACTACTAATGTTAATAATAGTAATAATAATACTTATTATTATAGACTTTTGCACAGTTGTTTTATCTTTTTAGAAGGATAGTATTATGTAAACTGTGATACCCTCCACGTTACTTTCCTGTACTTACTGCCCAATTTCATACCCTCCATGTTCCTCTCCTGTACTCACTGCCCTCTGTCACACCCTCCATGTTCCTCTCCTGTACTCGCTGCCCACTGTCATACCTTCCATGTTCCTCTCCTGTACTCACTGCCCACTGTCATACCCTCCATGTTCCTCTCCTGTACTCACTGCCCACTGTCATACCCTCCATGTTCCTCTCCTGTACTCGCTGCCCACTGTCATACCCTCCATGTTCCTCTCCTGTACTTGCTGCCCACTGTCATATCCTCCACGTTCCTCTCCTGTACTTACTGCCCACTTTCATACCCTCCATGTTCCTTTCCTGTACTCACTGCCCACTGTCATACCCTCCATGTTCCTCTCCTGTACTTGCTGCCCACTGTCATATCCTCCACGTTCCTCTCCTGTACATACTGCCCACTTTCATAACCTCCATGTTCCTCTCCTGTACTCACTGCCCACTGTCATACCCTCCATGTTACTCTCCTGTACTTACTGCCCACTGTCATACCCTTTGTGCTCCTCTCCTGCACATAATGCCTACAAAGACACTTTTTTAGCGTTGTCTGTTATATCCTCAACCCTTCCCATTCTGGAACTCGTACACTTTTGCTAGTATTAATTAATGTTTTATTATTATTTTTCACCTACAGTATGCTTCATGCTTACACCCACAACTTATTATAAAGAAAAAACATTTTGTTCTATCCATTCTCTGATCCTCCCTCAGATACAGTGTGATATGTCCTCGGTTTCTAAATCCTATGTTGTCTAGGTTTTTGCCATTTTTGTTTATCTCTTTCACTTTTAAAACTCCCTAGTCTATCATACATTAAGCCCCGAAACTCTACGTGGCCCGCTGTCACCACAGGTTTATTTATACAGAATGCACCCTGTAAATGTGCAGGCTCTATACTTACTATTTTGGCAGCCTCTGTGCTGAAATGCTGCCATTGCTCTTCTCCACAGCCGCAGGAGATATTCCACACTCCGATTTATTACCGAATATTTGGATTACCTGTGCTCCAACACATTGGCCACTGCAGAGATATCACAGGTTTATGCCAGGTTGGTAAATAGATATCAAACTGTACACATTGGTCTGAATCACATATCCAAGTATGTGAAGGGATTGAAAGAACCTTTAAAGTGTATCTAAACCCAAAACCTAAAATCAAATATATATTGCAAGTTACTGGTTTGGTCCTTAGTTGGCTGCATTAAATTATTTATTTATTTTTTTAACTCAGACATATTTTCTTCAATTTTCACCTGGTAATGCTGTGAATAGCACACTTCCTGTCCCTGAGTGACTACATTCATTTCTCCACTATATTGTATGCAGGAAGCCATGGTTGTCACCCAGGCTAAACATCACACATGTCTGCCTTTGTTCATCTCCATTACATGGTGGACGGACGGTACCAACCTAGGGCCTGAAAAATGGAATCCAATGCATTTTCACCATCTAAGGTAGTTGTGGTGGGCACTCAAAATCATCAAAGGGCTACAAATAAAATCCAGTGAATATTCAGAGTCAGGGACACAGACACATAGCAGGATACAGTCAAAGACTATGGACATGATACAAGAGATGGTTAGACTACAGACATAATACAAGAAATGGTTAGTGGTGACTGTAGACATGATACAAGAGGTGGTCAGGGACTATGGACATAATACAGGAGATGGTCAGAGACTGCGGACACATTACAGGAGATGATCAAAGACTGTAGTTCATGATACAAGAGGTGGTCAGAGACTGCTGACATAATACAGGAGATGGTCAGAGACTGCTGACATAATACAGAAGTTGATCGGAGACCGTGGACATCCTGCAGGAGACTGTAAACATGCTGTAGGAGTTGTTGGAGAATGGGGACATGCTCCAGGAAACATTCATTGACTGACTGGGACATGCTTAAGGAGACATTCATAGACTGGAGACATAGAGAACGAGACTGCTACAAATCACTGCAATAACAGGGCAATAGGGAAACACAGATTCATGTTTGCAGGGGTCCCGAGGGCTGCCAAAAAAGGGCCAAAGGGCCATATGCGGTCCCCAAGCCACAAATTGGGCACCGGGGATCTATGGGCTGGAAAACTGCAATATATTACATTTGTGTTTGTGGGTTTAGATATATTTTTAACTAATTAAATTATGCTTATTTATATAAATATATTTTATTTTCAAAAGACATTTATTAAATAATATAAAATCATTAAAGACAGCTGCACTCTTATTTAAGAGCATAAATATTTTTTGGCTTCCACTGATAGTCCAGCGTATTCAGGGGGAGCTTTGAAGGGTATGCCCTAGCACCTAACAGTGCTTTCTCCTCTATGCATGAGTTGGTATCTAGTGTTTTGTTTACTTAAACACCATTATGTGTAATAGCTAGATGGGCTCTTTACTACACAGGAGCAGCACTATATTGCTGGGATATTTTACTTACAGACCACAGTCCTTGAGGGCACATTTTTTCCCCAACAGAGCATTAAAAGCTAAAGATTACTTAGATAAGTTAGTTTTCAACTTCTATGAATAGAACTGAGCTGTAGATCTAGCCTGCAGTTCTTTTTAGGTATTTACAAACAAGTATGTGTATGCCAAATGGCCTGCACATGAATTATCCCGTATGTTACAACATATGTGGGCTCTTGGGCTGCCTAGTATGCCTTTCATTGTCACCAACACATTTGTGTGAATCCAAATAAGCATGAGTCACTGTGTTATTGAGTTTATAGACTTCTTCCTTTCCTTAAATTACGATAGTCAGCCTGATCTTTACACAGATAGTAACATCCTCCCCATTTCCTGACATGCTATGGGAATAACAGAATTCTGTTGGGTTTATATTCCTTAGGCTGTGTTTATATCTCAGTAAGAGACATATGTTTATATGTGGTTACTAATTTTAAACAAGTTGCTTATTCTATAACCATTACCAATAGCAACAACAATTGTTTTTTTTTCAGGATTTTAGTTGCATTATTTCATAATTCTGTTCCCAAAGGGTATGTCATTTTTTTGGGTGGAGTAGTTGAGGATCAGAACCTCTCTGAAGCTGTTTAGTGTCCATGTCTCACTTAAGGAGATTCTCCCTCTTGCTTTGGTTCTTCTTGGGTTTGGTCCAAACACATGTTGGCAGATCCTGGAAGGTCCCTGTCAATGCCAGGCCAATCAGCTTTGGGCAGGGTATTCCTGCTCAACAGCTGCACATACACAAAGGGACAGGGATGCTTGTGACATGATTAACCTAATATAGCCATATCGGGTTGAGGTCAGGACTCTGTGCAGGCCAGTCAAGTTCCTCCACCCCAAACTTGCTTATCCATGTCTTTATGGACCTTGATTTGTGCACTGGTGGGCAGTCATGTTGGAACAGGTAGGGGCCATCCCCAAACTGTTCCCCAAAGTTGGGAACATGACAATGTCCAAAATGTCTTTGTATGCTGATGCCTTAAGAGTTCCCTTCACTGGAACTAAGGGGCCAAGCCCAACCCCTGAAAAACAACCCCACACCATAATCCCCCCTCCACCAAACTTTACACTTGGCACAATGAAGTCAGGCAAGTACCATTCTCCTGGCA